AGTGTTAAAGAAAAGCTTCGGGAGACCAATGCAATCAGGAACATCAAAGACATGTCAAGCTATAATGAGAAAGACCCAAATGCACTTTTGGTGCAGCACTGCCAATATTAGTGGATATTCACCAGGGGACAATTTGTCCCATTTTTGTTATTAGCAGCATCTGTAAGAACTGCTTGCCACCTCCTGGCAATACATAATTGCAGATTAAAAAAATGGGGGAAAAAATAAAGTACCATATTTTTTATTCAATCAAACCCTTTTTGATTCCCTAGGAAAATAATTCTGGGAAGATATGAGAACAGCTGCTTAGACATTTCAGAAAATACTTCATTCAGGCTAATGAAACTGTTCAAAGCTTTAATATATTGTACATTATTCATATAATTTGAAAATTAAAAAGGCTTTGAGATTTTATTGTATTTAAGTAATAAAATGTGATGCAATTTCTACTCTTATTACTAAATATTCAATAAATTAATATTATTACTTTATAGACAATTATATCTGGTGAAAAACCACACATCCTTGATGAATTACTAAACAATTATCTAAAATATTTTGATGCTAAGGGAGAACTTAGCCACAAATCAGAGGTTCTTGGGCAGAGCTCTCCTCTCTATTAGGACTAAAGCCAGGGTTCTTTTTCTCAAGACTCAGCCATCAGCAAGCATTGCATCCAGGTAGAACAGTTAAGACAGGAGCAAATAGACTCATGAGAGTAGTACCCTCATTTCCACTCCATTGAACGTGTGAGAGCTGACAGAGCAAAACAAACAATTCATGTATGTGGCAGCTCCACCTCAAATAAAAAAACCTTTAGACAGCAAACTTCTGCTCCTGATGTTCTCCCTGTGTCACTCTTCCCCCAAATTGGTTGTGTTCATCTCCCACTTGTCCTCCCACATACTCAAGATCTTGTGTCTGTGGTGGCTCTTACTCAGTTAGCAATTTACTCCTTTGCCTGGGAGTTATGCGAAGCCGGTCGTAGGTGAGTCATTCTTACACATCCCATGGAGAAGTGCCACCAACTAACTTGTGTTACAGTAGCTTGTAGAAACTAAAAGCCACCCAGTAAACACCTACTAAATTACACCACCAAATGAAATGCCATCACAGTGACAGATTATCGTGCTGCTCCCAGCTCATTTGTCTTGTCTAAATTAGTAGGTCAAGGGAGATTTTCTCCCTTCAAAGAAAGAAGGCAGGCATCTATTAGACTTCAGTGAGAGGTATACTTCTGAAAGCCAATTTCTCTCACAGTAAGGATGTTATGAATGGTGATAAAGTCAGAAACAAGTTCATAACTATGTTGTCCCTAAATCTCTTCAGCAGTTGCAACTGAATGCAATATTCTACTCATCTGCTTGCAAGTTCTTTGGGCATTAGTAGTTCATGCTGTGCTAAACAAATATTTTTTTCAGTTTCTCACAAAGGTGAAGGAAGAAAAAAGTAAAATCAGTGCTCTGTCTCTGGTTTAGTATGTTTACAAAATACTTTGAGATATGTTGGAATAACAGACTGTAAAAGTAGGTTATGTTCCCAACTAATTCAAAGGTTTTATAAAAAGCCTTAGACCGACAGAATAAAAACTATTCAGAAATATTAATAACTCTCTCAAAAATGTAGCTAGAAACTGAGTATAATCATGAAAATAAATTTAACTCATTTAACTGCTCTGCAGGATAAAATTTTACATTTTTCTCCTGTTTATATTTGTTATGGAGAAGCAATCATTTTAGTGCTGGTTGAGCAAGTCCAAATGAACCCTTATGGCTTGAAACAGCTCTTTAAAAGGATTTTTTTCTGTGCAACAAATTACTTGCATTCCTGCACTTTACTCTACTCTAGTAATTTCCATACTTTTCCATAATGTTCAAACATTAGAGGGAAGTTGGCTACAATACCCTCACATGAGTATTCTCCTCGCTAGTGAGTGACATATTGCAGCAATGGTTTGTTGACATTAACATCCACCGAGGTTGACTTTCTATATAACGGCATTTCATTTGAAAGACAAGCAGGTTTGGTTGGCTTTGGCTGTCTCAGACTGATGGTACTTAAACCTTAAAGAAAGTAATTTTCTTCTTAATTGCAAGTGCTATATTACCAAAGAATAAAAATGATAGTTTTATTCCACGGCAACATTGTTCCATAACCACTGGAAATACACCTATAGGTGCCTTCTCAGCAAGTATTTTAAACATAGTGCAGCCAGTGACCCACCTGGGATTGTCCCACAGCCAAACCTAAAATCTATATAATAAACCTAAAAAGCTGTGGCTACAAGTTTTCTTACTTAGTCGGCCAAGTTGTCTTTTACTTAGGCTTCTCTTGGGGAAAAAAAAAAATCCAGTAATGCTTATAAATATGGCATGTCTCAGCTTATGGACACCTATACTTATATATCAGTATATGTAAGAGATATGCTGATTCACTTTTGTTGCAGTACGTTCTAACCCATTATGATTTCTCACTACAACATTTGGTTGTTTTTTCATCCCCTTTAAAAAAGAAAGTAGAAGAAATTCTGTAATCTCCAGGCAATAAAGCATTAGGCCACTATCATCCAGGTCTCTTCTCCAAAGTATCCTACAAATAACTGCTACCATATCATCCTTTGTGCCTCAGAGGAGCCACAAGATGTGTTTGCCACCTTGATTTTGAATAATGCCCCCTCAGTTTGTCCTCCTGGAGGAGAAGTAGCTGATTTGAGCATACTGGTACCTTTTCCACAGAGGCAGTCTTCTTACCTGAGAGCATCTTGCTGCTCCAGGCTATTTGGTGTTTTTATTGGTGTGCAGCAGTTCCCAAAGGAACCAGTTATTCCTGTAAACAGAAGCTCTCACAGGATAACATGAGATTGGATAATGGCCCACTGCTCTTCACTGACACTGAAAAAGTGAAAAACATCTCATGGACAACCAGGACAGAAGATTGTAGTTCAGACAAATACATTGGTCCAACCCTTGGCACCACCTCTACCCTGGGTATGAGTGACAAATGCCATGAAAATTATAAACTTAATTTTCCAAAGCTCAGGGTAGCTTCTGCAGAGTTTCTCAGGTACCTTGCTGGTACACATAGGCAGCTTTATGCTGAGTCCCAGGAAAATTTTAGTGATTTGGACTCTGTGCATGGTCCCTGGCTCAGATATTAAACAAAATTACATCCCCTGGATTTCAGATTGAAGAAGAGCCAGGGTGGAATCTCTGTTTCCCCCATCAGGCACAGGCTGTGATCCTGTACCAGGCTGGAGGTGCAGAAGAACAGGAGTAAAGAACAAGTCCATCAAAGTCAATGCTTTTTGTGGGCAAACTCCTAGGAGCTGATCACTCTACATGCACGAGTCTTCCTCTTATTTTTTCTTGCTTGAGTGCCAAGCTGGGAGCAGATGGTACATTAGTCACCCTTAACTGGAGGGTAAGAAAGTGTGATTTCTTTTTTTCTAAATTCAGTTGAGACCCTCATCCCTTTTAGATTCCCAGCTCAATGTTTATTTGTCTTACACAGAACTTGTGCTTTCTACCCCTCTCAAATGCTAATCCTCTCCACACATATGCTCATTATGCAAAAGCATATGACAAACACCATCTGGGAAAATAAATAGCTCCTCAGCTAACTGTGCTGCTCCCTCCCTTTACGTCACCCACCTCACTATTGTCTCTCCTATTTTTATCTGCAAGACAGCAATCACTCAATCCAGCTATTAACTTAAAAGTGCTGTTTTAGTCAAGCAAGCTGCAGATCCCAGACTAGGCAATAGAATCTATTCCCTTTTTCGAGATGATGTGCATGTCAATGATAATTTAAAAGCAGCCATAGCACTAAGAAAAATGCATATTACTTTTTTAAATGGCAGTTGATATCACTGACAGATACTAGTCCTGACCTTAAGAAGTCCACGCTTGTTTTTTTAGCTAGAAGGTTACATTTTCTCCCCCATAAAATATGCAGCTCTTGCCACAAGTTCTACCTCGTTTCCATGGATTCCTGAGACAGTCCTTCATCTCTGACAGATTATTCCTCATACCATTCAAAGCTTAAGTAAAATGGTGCTAAATAGGGAATGACATTAGCCAAGTTCAGTGATTTCTCTAACCTCTAAGTAGACGGGTAAGAATAGGAGCCATGCTATCATTAATCATCGTTGATTTGTTTTCTGCCAGAAAGTTAATCAAAAGAAATGAGGATGTATACACAAGAGAAAGGCATTCCAGAATATTCTGGTTTGGATTAGGAAAATCATTGTGATTCAGCAAAGGAGATATTTATTTAGCTAAATTAAACAGGATCTGCATAAACCAACCGTATTGTGTTGAGGCTAAGTAAGCAAGAGAAATTTAGAATGTTTAACCAAGAGACTCAGCAGCTGATACTGTGATATAAAGGCAGAGCTGTGTAAGTACCCTGTAAGAATTGTGGGACCATAAACACTGCAATACTATATCTGTTTAGAGAAAATATGAGACAGAATTCAATGATGACCTTATCTGAGATACAAATTCTTGTCAATTATTATATGCTTGTAGGGGCATGTTTAATAGATGGCAGAAAGTCCTTCTCATTTGTCCTCAGAGACAGCACTGATATTGCCCAGCTAAGAAATCCATTATACAGCTACAAAAGAGGCTATTTGATTTCATGATCACGTGCCTTTATTATTTTAAGAATAATTTAACATAGGCAGAGGAAAGCAGAATCTGTATGAAAAAAAGACTTGGGGACTACAGCATTTGCAGTTACCAGCTTGAGCTTCTTGTTTCTACTGTATTTTTTAACTTCTTTTTTTTTTTTTTTTTTTTTTTTTTTTTTTTTTTGTGGAGAGATTATTTTTGGTTTTCTCCCTATTGGTTCGACAATTGAGGAACCAATTGAAGCAGAGGGGTTTTAGGCTGGTACATGGTTTGGGTATCAGTGTTGCTCAGAATGCATGTGCCTATGCAATTCACCCTGTGCTGCTGAATACGCCCTTAACTCTCTTCTCTTTGTTGTTGAAACAGACGAGCCAAACTCCTGGAGTGCTCCCTCTGCCACCGCCCCAGGTCTGCCGGAAGTAGCTCTTTCCCTCGACGACATAATCTCACCATTATCTTCATCACACATAGCCCCACCCTCTGACCCTTCTCACCAGATAAGCCCAGAACCAACATGGGATATCAAGAGGGAACACGATATAAGGAAACCAAAGGAGCTTTCGGTGAACGGTCACAAAAAGAAAAGGTTAGGAGAACAAAGAGAAAGGTCAGCAAGTCCTAAAAAGGTAGACAGGTCAAAGCACGAAGAGGCTTCTTGGAAAGGATATTCAGGAGGCAAAAGTAAGACCACTGATGGTGGCAGGCCCACCTCAGAAAGCAAAGCGGTGGGACACAGCGTTATGATCGAGGCTGGCGCAAGAGAGCACGTGTGTGCTGGAACCAGTGATGAACAGTTTGGGAGGCTGAGGAAGCCAGAAAGCAAGAGAGGAGGATCTCTTAGCAAAAAAGATCACAGATCCACAAACACCTGTGAGAAGTCAGCTGCAGCACCCGACCATGTCAAGACCGATACAGGAGCTACCAAGACTTACAGTAGCAACCGCTGCAGCTCGCCTGGAAGTGATATGGACCACAGCCAGAGGGACCCTGATGGGAAACCCAGCGAGTTCCCCAGGAAGGGACATCTCCACTCCATTAGCACTCGCAGCACCAACACCACAGTTCGAAAGGCAACGGTCTCTCCAGGGCCGTGGAAAATCCCTGGCTCAGATAAGCTACCAAGCGTCCTGAAGTCTGGTACTTCTGCCATGAGCAGATAAGCAAGGGACTGTTGCCCTCTAACTGTCTCAAACTGACGCAGAACATTCTTCTTAGTTTTTGTCTCACATTGGTTTGTTTTAATTTATTTTAACTATCACACATATACACAAAGCATTGAGGAATGAAAACATTAGTGTGTAATTCCATGACAATGTGCACAGTATCTAATAAGTTCAAAAGCATATAGTCAACACAGAGATTTAAAATCGACCCTAAAGTCCCAGTTCCATTTTAGGGACTTTGGCAGCTATGGAAGAAACCAAAACAATATGAAGGACAGTACATCAGAGAAGGATAGTGCAGTGTAGCTTTAGCATTTTTTTCCCACTGCATGAAGGACTTGGATTTCATTCAAACTTTATATCAAGAAACTGGAACAAGTTAGAGCAATCACAAACTGGAACATCGCCTTAAATAAAACTGCACGGAGCAAGCTGAAACCGAGAGAGGATCTTTTCATGGAGCTAAAATGTTGTAAATAAATTGTTCTCGACATATCTAGACAGGGGTTAAAGGGTTTCTTTAAAGCATCGTTCGGAACTGTACACCCATGACACGTCTCCACTGTTAACGCTTTGGGATAGTCCACGTGGTACCCTGTAGAATAGTTCACTGGGTGCTACGGGAGGAATGGGGAATCTGGTGGATAGTTTCTGTGATACCATTTCTACTGCCATTTTTGTGAACAAACCATGTTTCTGTACATTGGAAAGGAGTTAAGGTGGAGTTGTATTTGCAAATTATTCTCAAAAGTGATTTATTACAGGTTCCCCAAGTCCTGCGAGGTAGCACACAAACCAATTGGTCAGGCTCAAACCCCAGGCATCTGCAAGGCCCTTGCAATGAAAGGAAGAGTGCTACAGAGAAAAAGCTGCAGTTTCCTTAAGGAAAGGCCTTTCCTTCCTGCAGAAGATGATAGCATCACTTATCAACAGTGCTATGTTTCATACCCATCTGCATTTACTTAGGACACTTTCACCTCTCATCCCCTCAGTTTGGCAGAGCAGGTGCCTTTCAGGCACATGTCAACAATAATTAGACTGGTTTCTGAAATACAGTCGTCAGTGTCCTCATTCACTAAATTCAGTATTTTTCCATTTTTAAAATGGTTTCCATTTTACCATCTTTTCCCTATCGCCGTTTTTTTCTACATTTTGTTTTTATCTTTCTTGCTTGTCTGTTTTGAATTTTAAGCCTTAAGTGCCAGGTAAACATTCCAGTCTGCCTTCACAGGAAATAACTCCGAGTTCAGTCAATCAGTCATTACCTTGTTTCAAACAGATGTGTGTGTGTCTGTGTAAGTGTGCGTATGCTTATTCGTCTGTCAAAATTAAAACAAAATCCTGGGCAATAATACATTGGTAATTAAAAAAAAAATCGTAAAAGCTAAGTACTGTCAAAGATTCATATTTAAAAATTACTGTTCACTAGCAATCTTAGTTCCTCACACGCTCTGCTGAAAAACTAGATTGAGATTGGCTTTGTTCCAAGAAATTAGCACATTACTGTATGTCTCAAACATTGCACTGGACTGCGAAATTTATAGACATGTTTCTTCCTGTCCAATTATTTGAAAAGCCTCAAGTCAAGGATTTTGCAGCTTTCAAACATTTTTTTTTAAGAAAGAAAAATCCATTTATAATTTCTAAAAAAGCACAAATCCATGTAGCTGTTTATAAAACTCTTATTTAATGGAAAAAAATATCTTTATCCCCTGAACTAGAATCCAATATAATTTGCCATTAATTTATTGAATCTGATTTTGGACAATGCTTCTGTAGTGTAGATGCACGTCCCAGTATCTTATTTTTATGTATAAAGAAAGCAAACAATGAAATCTGAAAAACAGTTGAGATTATGCTTGCATAAACTCTAATTTGCACAGTTCACAGCTACTCCTTGTGCAGTAATTGCTTTATGCGGCTGTAATCGATAACCTGTGAAGACAGCACATCATCTAAACCCCATTCCAAATAATATTTCTGTGTAGTGTTAGCTGTGAATTTACCTTGTACAGCTCTATCTCTATAAATATAATTCCATGTATTAATAGTCACAGAAAGGCTGTAAGTGAGCAACTATTTTTATGAAACGCACCACTATGGATAAATTAACTTTTACAGAAATCTTGTTTACTGTATGATATTCTAAACCACTGTCAAATAAAATATATATCCAAAAATCTTTCATTTTTTCAATTGTATATAGTTTGTGTTAATTTTGAGTAACATGCTTCAGTGTTACCCTGACAAACAACCATTTTCTTGCATATGAGTAGGGTTAATTAGCTACTGCCTTATAAAAAAGGCAATGGACCATTTTAATTTCTCACTCCAATTTATGAATAAACATGTAAGTGACCAAACAGATTTTATAATGGCAAGTCAAGGCTTATGAGGCAACACAGACACAGAAAAATCTCATCCTTGGTGAAGAAACCTAAACCTTTATTCTCCTTCCAGTCCCTCGAGACACAGGATCAGGGTGGCCAGACTCCCAGCAGTGAGAGACAACTTCTGTGTGAAGGACGCACAATTTCATTCTCAATTTATTTTACAGAAAAAAAAGTCCCAAAAAACATCATAATGTGTAAAAATATTGGTAACCAGCCAGCCTCTTTGGGACCAAATCCACTCCTTATTAAATGCTCCTTACCTCCAGTTTGGCAAAATAAATAATCAGTTTATAGACTCTAGACACTGTAAGATGTCTACCTGGAAAACAAGCAATATTTTTCACACAAATATGACATTTTTTAAAGATAAGTATTTCCTGTTTCTTCAGAATATAATTTTCTTCAAAAAATAATACTTTTTCTTCATACAGCTTGAGTCAACTACTGCAGAACCTTGTTTTTTCAGATTAATGATCCCCATAGAAAATTTCAACCAGCTGAATTAATAACATAAATTTGCATTACAATAAACACATAGAAAATATGAAGCATATTTAATACTCAAAACATTTTGCTACTGTTTAAATAGCCACTATTTTCATGGCTGGAAATCGGGGTGTGTGCCTGGTTCTGACCCTGAGGTATCACAGGGAAGTGTGCTGAAGCCGTATGACATCATCCAATCTAACTCTTTCTGTTAATAACATGTCCTTTGTCTTTTAAATATAGTAGTCCAGCATTTGCATTGTTCTGCTGTTATTATGACACCTTTTAATATCTCTTTTTCATACCTATGCACCAAGACAAGGAAATAGATGCCTTCTTTGATGCAGATTCTCTGCTCCAAACTGCAGTGCAACAGAGTAAGTAAGCCTGCCAGCCTGTGATCACCAAAGCACATTTGGGCAGGAGTTTTGACAAAAAACCACCACAGACTGATGTCATTGCAGCCCTTTTCTTAACCAGTGGCAAATGTGGGTTCTGGACCTAGCTCCTTCTCCAAGTACTTCACTGCTTTAGGCCATTCACACAAATTGCAGAGCCCGGAAGAGCAGACCTTCAAACAAATTTAATAAAAAAGCCAGGAAATTTAATTGGTCCCACAAGATCTCACCAAAGATGTCATCTTTTCTTCCAGAAAGCTGCTGGACAGACAGCACTCTTTGTTCTGTTATAATAGAGCTTATGTTGCACTGGTTTCACTCCACTGTGCTCCTCTAAACAGGATGGGCATTTGTAGCCCATATATCCACTTATTCCATGGCCTCAGTGGTTAGACTGCCAACAATTTAGCCCCAGTGTGGATAGCTGCCTGCTAGGAATTGATGCAGAAGTTCAAACATGGACCCATTTCTTCTGTGATACTTTTCATCTGAACATGCAGCCAGCCACATTGCCAAAACCTTCTCATCCCCATCAAAAATGAGATTCCATCTGATTTGTGCCATCTCTGCTGAACACAAACAACTCATGCTTAGCCCTCTCTACATCCCATGTGCTCTCATCACCACCAGATTTATTCTGAATCTCTTCCTCCTCATCTCAGGTTCTTAATCCTGTCTCTGAGATGAGTGCTGCTGCCATTCAGTAAATCAAATCTTCAATCCTCCATTTTCTCCTTCTGTCCCTCAGAACTTGCTTTCCTTTTGTTCACTTGTTCTTTTCACGCTCTGTCACTGTCTGGCATCTCTCAACCTCCACCTGATGTGTATCAGCAGCTCAACATGAGATTCCTCTTCTAAGAAGCGTCATGACCAGTTACACACTAAGTCATTAACCCGCTCCTGGTTGTCATACAAATGTAAAGACATACCCAACACCTTGCACCGAAGGCAAAATCACCTCCCTTGTCCTCCAGATACCACCAGTGGTTAGACATACAAGATATACTAAGTCTACATGCAGCCAGTAACTACTTTTGCAAGTACACACAATGTTTTATCTTCTTTGCTGAATGTCTGTACTGATAATGATTCAAGCATTCAGGCCAGTGTTTGTGGATGCAACATACCATCATCTCTACTGGAAGTCTCCAAATTCATTTTACAAAGTCAAGGACAGGCAAAGCTGCAGGCACATTTCTGTCTTAGCCTCTATGCTCTTTCTGTACATCACTGCTGCCATGGAAACCTGGGGCCAGAATTGCAGAGGAAAACGTGGAAGCCTTGCTGTGAAGTGGAAAAGTTTCTTGGTACACTGTCGTGGAGCTCAAAGCTAGAGAAGGCTTTGGACTTGCCCAGGGATCTCCGATCCCATTAGGGACTGATTTCACATAAGACTCCAAAAGAGCCCCCTCCCTCTTCTGAGCCCTAGAAGCTAGGATATTTTCTCTATTTGCTGCTAAAAAGGCCATGCAAGTGTGGCAGGCTGCCTACTCTCCTAGCTAGTAAGGGCTGGGAGAGAATTGCCACGGCTGTGTCCCACAGGCCTCCCACCCTCCGCAGCCAACAGACTCCAGGACCCCCAAGGCTCTCTCACCATGTGTCAGTGGAGGGGCCCAGAGAAGTGGACATTCCGAACCAAACACTTTTACCTTCACTGTTCTCATCCAAACAGTCAGTGGCTTTAAATAGCCATCACTCCCAAAGGGAAATCTGGTGCTTTATTGGGAGAGAAACCGCTGTGTTTGGGTGAGGATTCACACATCACCAGCGCCCCAAGCTCAGCATCCAGAACCGTCCTCTCCCTTGGAGAGAAACACTCAGAACAGCCCCTGCCCACCACCCAAATAAGTACCTGTAGGCTCTGCATAGCCACCACCCTCCTGGAGCCAAGGCACACATGCTCAGTCCAGCCTTGAGCGTTATGGAATATTTTTCTTAAAATTTCTAACAGCAATGATGTGATCACACATTTATCTCCATAGATGACACCTCAGCTTAGAGCAATCTGTTTCAAAATGTCTTGTCAAGACACAGTAACATAAGCATTATCTCTGAATTATAGCCAATCTAAAAATTATGTTGTGCCCTTCCTGTCTTTAGTGCCTCTATGGCAGTAAGTCACTTTGCCGGTTCAACTAATCGATAAGGAGAGTTTTGCTTACAAGGTACAAATATATATCCTTTAAACAGTTAGGGGAACACCAGTGTACAAAGACCCACTCCCACACAGGGGCCTGGAACACCATCTTCCATTCCCGTTCAGGAACTGGCCAGATATCCATGTCTGAGTTGGATGGCTGCTGCTCTCAGGAAAAAACCAAAACACATAGAATGCAGACTAATCCAGAAAGCCATTGGTCATCAACAGATAATTCCTGTAAGTGTACAGATATTTAAACTGAAAAAAATAATAAATAAGCAAGAAATGGTGCAGGGAGAAAGAGGAGTGATGAGCTTTTCTGTGATGCAGAGACCTGATGACCTGCTTTAACTTCAACTTCTTCAAGCTAAAGACTGAAAAATATGAGCTATCAAACATGACAAATGCTGCAACAAAGCTCTGCAAGTCTTGGGCACAGCAAGAAAGAGTATGTAGTGATTACACTTCTGAAGAGAATTAATTTATTTAAGTAAAATGCTTGGGCTGGGGCTTGGGAGAGGAGAGCACACCATTCTCAGTGGCTGCAGCCATATTGAGCAGCCTCAGCAGTGGGCTGGCACTGCCATGGTGGGCCAGCACCAACACCTCTGTGACATAGGAAGGTGGAGAATTCAATCCCTGGGATACTTCCCTTTAGCGCTGCATAGCACCAAGGGACCTGTTGTCCACACCAAGATGTTGTAGATGTGGAAGCAATGCAAGGAGCAACTAAAATATGAAAGCCAAACCCAGACCTGTGATGAGAGCCCCAGAGCAGCTGAAGCAGGGAGAAAGGTTCTGAGGAGCCACAAATCCACAGCTACAGCAGGAGTGAGACCAGGGCACTGACATCATTCTATCCTTCCTCTCCCAGTAAATTTGGGACATTGCTGTCATTGTAGCCATCTGAATATTTACCATTCTTTACTAACGCTCTAAAAGAAATGCAGATTTTCTTCCTGGAGTGCCCTTTGCTCAAAAGTAGTGAACAACAACAGGCACCCCAACCAAAACTCTCCTGCCATCACTAAGAAGCAGGGTTGCCCATGGCTGTGAAGTTTCTATTCATGCATATATATATAGAATTAAAGAATTTGGGTGTTAGTATTTTCCCAAGAGGATTAAAAACTATGCCAAGAGCTTTAGCTAAAGTACTTAAATAATTGCAGTCCATAAACCAGAAAATTGTTCATCCTGTCTCTAAACCAGCAAGTACAAAAAGCTAGACTTAAGTACCTATTTAATTCAGGAAGACAAATCAGACCTTTCCCAGCATAGTCCAGTCACCATGTGTGAAACACCTATTCTAATTAGCACTTCATTCACTCCAGAAATTTTTTAAAATAAACCCAGCAGGCAGCATGGAACACTGCAATCTGTTATTACAGAATAATTCAGAGTACTTCTCAAACCTTGAACATCGCAAACAATACTAATAGATTACTTTTTTATATTGCTCCAGGAAAGACGAATGGCAGCATGTGCCTCCTCCTGAATGACTCCTGTCTCCAACACCCCTGGTACTGCCCAGCTTTTCAGGTTGGTTTCTGGCAGAAATCCACCCCATGTCACCGTGCCATGGGCAGCTGCAGGAGGTCACAAAGCCTTTTGGAGGCACCTTCCCATCTGACTTGCACAGCAGCAGCAGAGCATCCCCCTGTGTCGGAATCTGTGGTATTGATGATTCCAAGACTGTAGAAAGTCTCTGAGCCCTTCAGCCAAAGAAGAAGCCATACTTCATCTGTGCTGTTTTCAAGGTTGTT